CCCTGCGCCGCCCCGGGGGCAGCAGCTGTCCGGGGGGGTCCCTGCCGCTGGAAACGCCCCGTTTAACGCGCAGAGGGTCACTGCGCCCGGCCTCCTCCTCCCGGCCCGAAGGATCCTACGCTGGGCACAAAAAGCAAGTGGTCCCATCTCGGCCATGGCATAGGTAAAAATCAATACGGCAATTACACCTTCGGGGAAGAATGCGTAACAAGTTCATAAAAACAATTCATCAGAATATGCAGAATTTGCATGTTAATACATGTTAGGAAGAAAGCACTCCTTATACTGGCGAAGTCTGATTTTTCAAGGTCTTTTGAGCTGGCTTGCTTATTTTCATAGACTAGTCATTTGAATGCCTTATGCAAGAGATCAGACTATGATCATCGTAGTCCCGATGGCTTTAAAACCTAAGAGTCTATGAAAGGAAAGATAATACATAATTACGTGCACACAGGCATTAGCAAGTAAGTTCACGCTTTTTAATAGCATTTTATGAAAAAGATTTTACTCCCCAATACTATCTGTGTACTTATTTTGATCCATTAAAACTTTCCTTACCCATGTCATGCGAATTCGGTCCACAGTACTGTAGTGACATTCTGTGATTAAATTATCCCCCTGAAACACAAGATTTAGGAAGTTCACAGTTCTGAAGTTTATCAACACCAGTTTCAGGTATCCACAGATGACAGCAAACACTTAAGAAATGAAGATCAGAGCAGTGGATAGGACTTTTTGAAGGAGCAAAGGATTAGGTAATTGGCGTATGCTAAGGCATTGGCACTTAGCATTCATATTATCCCTGATCCTCTGGGATCCCCCATGGATTTAAGTGGAGTCTTATTAAAAGCCTCGTCTGTTTTTTTTTAAAATAGCAATGGATGTGCCCAGTTATAATCCTGTTTTCAGGAAAATTATATATGTAGACAATGTATACATATCATTCTTGCTCCAAAACTCATCCAGTTCTACTTTGGATAGCTTTCCCCAGGCTAATTTATCCTGCCAACTTCAATAGAAATACTTGCCAAATGAGGAAAATAAGGTTTTCCACATCACAATAACAACTATTTATCTGCCAAGCCTGGGAGTAGAGGAGTGGCAGGCAAAGACTTAACTACATTGACAGATGTGTATGGGAAAGGATGAATACTTACCTTCTCAAGCACATACAATTTACTTTTTGCTGTCTTGACAAACTGATCTACAGTTTGGTAATACCTTTATTCCCTGTACCTAATCAAATACAAATCTCAAATTCACCATTATCATCAAGTGGAAATTGAAGTATTGAAGAACACAGCCAGACGTCAAAAATCTGCTATTTTGGGGCAACTTCGTATCACAAGGATGCCAAAGGTTTATTTGCTTTGGTTCATTTTTTTTGCACCAGCATCTTCCCTTCTCACCCATTGTATTAATCTTCCCTGAAAACATAAGATCACCCTTCAAAGGTTGAGAATTTCTCCTTTCCTGTCGGCTGCCTCGTTGCCAGATCAATGCTGGCACTGACTGTACTCCGGGCTGCTGGAAGAAGGTGCATCAGCCTCGTGTTGGCCAAATGGAGACGGAGCTTTCTGAAGCAGTGTGAACTGGCACAGCTTTGTTGCTCCCAGTGGGAGAGCCAGTTCCCACCAGCAAGGTCCCTGGCTCTCATGGCTTATGGACCGGATAACATTCACTAGAAGTGTTCCTTCTGTGAGATTAGGTCTTTCACTTCCAAATTTGGAAGAGAGTGCTGATACGTGAAGAAAGCAAATAACCTGGACTCCATGAGCTGAAAGAAAGATACATCCTTGGAAGAGTTGGCAGAAGGAGAGAATAACAAGAACTTCTATAAAATTTTTTACTGCTAATAGTTAATTGATTAGACTGTGGTCCAAATTACACTAGAATGATGTATGTAAAGCTGTGCTGGTATTTTTGCATAAGATGAAAACAATAAAAGGCATGAAAAAGGCTCACTTCAGAGAAAGAATTCCTGCTTCTACTCGAGCTGTCTTTTTTTAAGTTGTTGATACTATCAAATACCTCTTTTGGTCTTTCTACTGTCTACTCCCTTTTGTTCTTGAATTTTAAGAGGCCTTTCTCTATAATATGTGTGGATTTTCCTAAAAATATTACAGGTTTTCTCTGCAAACCTGTCATCTTCTGCCAACCCTCTTCCTAAACCTTTCAACACTTCTTTCCTGGAGGAGGTAACACCAGTTTGTCTTTGAAGTCCCCGTGGAGTACAAGCACTTGGACTTCAAAGAGTAAATGCTGCACCTGAACATCCATGTTTTGCTGTGGAAATTAAATTAGAAAGTTAGCATTTTAGCTTCTTGCCTTTAAAGGACAAATATCAAAGTAACCCGGTGTGGGAGAAGAGGCATAAGAGAGGAAGGGACATGAAGAGAAGCCTGGAAGTTTAAATCGTGGGGTTCCTGACCATACTTGAAATTCAGTCATTCCAAAGGTCTTTCCAGCTCCCTTCCCTTACTGGCTTCAATCATCAAAAAAGTCCAGTTGTTTGATATTTTGCATCTGACCAATTCCATCAAGTAATGGGCTTGTTCACATGCACCCGGAGAGGCACATTTCCACCTGCTCTGCTGGTCAGATCTGGAGCATCCAACCTTTGCAGCACTAAATTTTCTGTCCTCGGGCCAAAGCTTCAAAAATACATGCCAGCTGGAACTAAGAAAGTTGAGCAAATAATTTTTAAATGAGTGACTCAACCAAAAAAATACAGACTCTTTTTGTGCAATACCTATGGATAGCTAGTGCTTTATAATATAATTGCGGTTAGGATTTTTCTAAAAAATATAGTACATTATTTTCACAAGAACAGCAGATAGAATTGCATGATTTCTTCTTCCAAAAGGTTTTGTTTACTTAGAGAAGCCTCATGTGGAACATGAGCTCAGAGTTTTACTCCTAACAACAAATAAAAATGTGAAATAAACAGAAGACTTGGCTGATTTGTAGATAGATGTTTGCAAGGCTGGATACTTGCTGTGTGCAAGTACTCAGGATATGCTACTTGGCTCCAGAGGCTCCGTAAAGCCACGCAGTGGCGTTTCCATTCTTCAGCTGGCTGGAGGCACAAAAACGGCACAACCAGGCACACATATGATTTTATAATATGCTTTGTTCAAACATTTATAAAAGTAAAGTTCAAATCAAGTAGTTGTGGACACCAGACAGACCCAAAGAGTACCTTGAATTGATGGGCCAAGACAGTCTGCAGTGTCTCCTGAGACACTGCAACTTTAATGCGTTAGTCACTGCGGTAAGTGGAAAAATGAACAAAACATTCAAGAATTACGTAGCAAAATTAATTTTAAACTTGAGTAAATGCTAGGCACACAATCTCTTAAACACTTTCAGGGAAAGAATTAAAAATGTCGTACTGGCAAGATGGTTCTTTCTTCTTTCAGATACTGAAACTCCTGGAAGTTGAAGTCAAACTCATCATCATAAGCAAGCAGCTCCTGCTCCTCGCCGTTGTGGAAGTGGCGCATCCTGATAGCTCTGCCAGCAAGGTGAGCATGAAGAAGTACCGCAAACACGTGAATCCCCGCAGGTCTCTCGGCACCTAGAGCCTGGCCAGGGGAAACCAACACCATGTATTGCCCATATGCAGTGTAATGTAATGTAGTGCAATGTACAAACAGAGTGAAAATACGTTAATAAATGCATTTTACATTCCCTCAGTTTACAGCAAAATGTAGTCTGGAGCAAAAACAAATCTGCATGTGAAATTAAGGTTTAATATATAAAAAAGTCTTGGGTTTTTTCTGGGAATTTTTTTTTTTAATAAAAATGTGTTTTGAGTCCTAATGCACACAGTTTTAATGAAAATCAAATTAACTGCCAATGATTCTCGATAGACTAGGGTTTTCAACCTGCACATCATTTTACTGCTATTGGCTGATACTACTGAATATGGATGTTTATTGTGAAAAAGAATTTCTGTGCAGTTATAAATGACGTTATCATCAATATCGTGCCAAGAGAAGCACTTTAAATTAAGAGGCTGTAATTATAATATGCTCTACTTCCCAACTTCAAGTCAACTGGTAGCAAAATACTGTAGGTTTACATCTGAAACTTTTTTTCGCGTCAAAAACATTTTAAAATTAACTTTTCCAAATTGACACAAATCTGACATCACTCCCATTCTAGCTGAGATCTATGGATCTGAACTTCTGGTATGCTAAACTTTGATTCTTGTTCAGAGCCCAAACTAGAAATTATCTGTTATCACAATACCTTTCAAGTACAGCCTTAAGGTTAGAAACCTCACGATAATGGATTCTTTAAGTGTCTTTAGGCTGAAAAATGCTATGACAATATGGAACATTTAACACCACCAAGAACAAATCTAAATTCCATATCTAATTTGCCCTTCACTCCAAACCACATCATAACAAGCACTGATTCAACCTTTCTCTATAAATGACAAAGTATATGAGAATCTCCTGTGATACATTAATTGCAGATTTTAGACAACGCCTCCATTATCTGTGGAGATATTTAGATTATCCTAATGAAACCAAGTGTTTAATGAATGCATAATTTTGTACTTTGGGCCATACAACAAAATTATTTCAGGTTTTTAGTTTCTGTAACTGGTCTAATACCTTTCAGGCTTTCATTTCACTATTAGGAGCCTTTTGGATATGTACAGATCTCTCAACACTTTTTCAGTGCTAACTATTCCAGGCTATTTATAGCTTTGCCATGTAAGCAATGTATGCTTATATATTGAACACACAATTAAATCATTGCAAGCACTGTGTCATCCAGTATTACTCATATCAGTAAAGCAGCCTGAATACTGAGCACCCCAAATACCCAGATCAAAAAGACTCAACATTCTGGAGGGCGGCATGTAGCAGATGCTTTTTCTCACATGTCCTTAACCAGTAACTATCAATCTTCCCAAGAAGTTAAACGGGCTGTCCAAAACTATTTCTAAGATTGAAAAGCAATGGATTCAGGCAGGAGACATACCTCTTCCAGACATTCCAGTGTGCAGTGACCCTCTGACACAAATTCAGGCATGCCCGGTGGGATATTGTGGAATAGGCTGACCCAAAGACCAGCTTCAATAACCCCAGCATCATATTTCCTTATAACTGGAGTATAAATTAGCCTCAGACCAGAGTTATCTATCAAGCCTGCAACAAAAGACCACAGTCAGCCATGGCTGTAAATCAGTATTAGAAAAAAACCCCAAAACCACCAAACCAAATTGTTTCATATTTTTCAAGGCTTGTCCTAAGTTTTTTACATGAAAATGGAGGAATCAACCTCAATAACCTGGAAATTAGTCAAACCATATGCAGGAAGTAATAAATAGGGGCAGTCCATAGGAGGGCTGTTAAACATGGTATGTTGATATCTGTGGTGCTCAGATGTGAATGAAAAATATGTGCTGCCCATAGCCCCTGTGTCCCTCCCACTAAGTTACCCAACATGGACCTCAGAGAAAAGGCGGCAGATCACAGACAGAGCCAACAATACAAGGAAATAATAAGATCTCAAAAAGTGCCGTGTATGACTTTCAAATTAAATATTTAAAGCAGAGCTTAAAGTTGTTGTGGTTATTTTTCTTTAGAATTTTCAAGCCATGTGTTGCCTTCTACTTGTAAATTTATCTATTCTTTCACCTTGAGCCCTAGCATTAATTATGTTTTTTTCTTTGTTTTGGATTATTAATTGCTGTCACATTACAGCATACCTCAGATGACCAAATAATTCCCTTTTGCAATCTCCCCAATTAAGAGAGCACCAACCAGACATATGAAAATTGGCTTCCTAAGTCCCAAACTTGAAGATAATACCAGCATCTTGAGTAAAGTAGACAAGAGAAGTACATAGGATTTTAATGCTTCACTCACTCAAAGACTTCTCTTGATTTCAAAAAGTAGTTTAAGGAACAAAAGTCTGATGTAAAAAGGCTGTGGGTTTTAAGAGTCAAAATTGTATGAATCTATTTCATTCATCTAAGTGTTTAGCCATATGCGTTTGCTTGTGTATCTACTCAGAATGAGTAGATATGTTGCCTCTGTCATCTAACTACTTGCAATTATTTCTCCTGTATTAGCCATTTTTATTAGGAAAGATACACGCAAAAACCAAAGATTAATTTGTGTTGTACAAGCTCTACATTGTTAGTTCATCTCTTACGTTCTCCTTTGTTGTCTCTTTTCAAATTTTAAAATTAAAAATGCAAAAAACTACCAAGTATCTCAGAGAAGGTAAGAGGCTTCCTAGTGACCTATATTGGTCTTCTAAAAAACATAACAGACATAGCAGTGCCCTAAACCAAATTTTACATCAACATAAATCGGCAGGCTACTTCAAGATAGGCAAATGACAGGAGGGCAGAGCAGGGACTACGTTAGCCAGTCACTAAAATACCTGAGAGAGAGTAGTATATAATTATTAAGAAACAAAGGGTATGAACTATGCATAGCCAATTAAGAGTGGTAATCAACTATGAGGCATTCTGCAAAATACAAATCATGACATTTCAGATAATATATACTGGCCCACAACATCACAATTTTCATGTGTTTGGGAATCCATACTCATTCCCTTTCTAAATCTAGAAAGCTAGCTACAGTCTCATCAACTTGACTTTTTACGTTGTGGTATTTCCCCTTCAAGCTTGTTGCTAATGTCTAAATGCCAGAAATTTTTACGATATGTAAGAGTTTTTGATGAACAATCTCAGAAAAGGCCACCTTTCCAATTAAAAGTGAATGTTAAGGATTTCATAAACAGAAACATTCAACACCAGCCAAGTTAGGAGCAGTTCAAACATTTTTGAGTCTAACTGGGAGCCAAGACTGCCTACCAATCTGAGTCAGTTAGGAAAACATCACCGCAGATGAGGCTATCAATGCAGCCTTTAACCCTGAGACCCAAGCTGGGAAAATGCAGATCCCAAAACGGGAGAACAAAGGTGCCCCCGTGGCAGGTTGGGTGCTGTGTCAGGAGGACTCGCGTGCCCCTACCCGAAGCAGTGCGAGCATCCAGAATATTCTCAGGTACAGTAGCTCAATAAACTTTTGTTTGAGAACAAAAAAGCATCTTTCCAAAATCAGCCTCAAAGTACCCCGGATTTTCTGGGGCTCCCTGGATTCTTCCTTTTGCTTCTTCTAAATATAAATAAATTTTAGAAAGAAGATTAAAAACCACCATTATAAAAAAAAAAAACTTATCTTTTAAGATAAACTGGTTTTACCCAGTGAATGGTCTAGCAACCTGAGTCTGTACTTCACCTTAAGAAACTGCCCACAGTTCAGGTAGATGTCTTAAAAAAAAAAAAAAAATCAATAAAAGGCTCGTCCCTGTGCTGCAGTCTCACAGGCTGGGTGCTGTGCTGCTCTCTCTCGGTCTGTTTGGATTTCCCAGCGAAAGGAAAGGAGAGATAACATGAAGAATGTAGTGATAAATGGAGCTGTATTCACCTGGTCCACAATTCTTTGTACGTCCGAATCTCCCACCGACTCAGAGAGACTGACTCAGTCCCTCACTGACTTCAGATTAAGCATCTCAGCGCAGTGAGAAAAACACTGGAAACCAGGAGCTATTGAGCAGGGAAATATAAGCCTCAACTTTGTATTTGCTCTGTTTGCTGTGCGATGCAATGAGAAACACTTGTGTCTAGTACATTTGCCAATATTGGTGTTTTAAAGAGTGTGAGGGTACAAACCTTCTGTGTATGACGGATTGTCATAATGCACCTCCATGAGGACGAACTGAGGGTCAGCTGCTGTCCCAATGGATAAACCAACATGAGGAGGGTAGGTGAAGCCCTGGAAATCAACATAGGCATGTAGAGTTAAGGTATTTTTGCCGTGGTTAAGAGTTAATTTCTTTTTATAAATACATCTATATTTTTTCAGTGATACAATCATATTAATGCTAAAATTCACAAAGGTAATTTCTTTCAAAACTTTCTGAACATGGCATTGTGATGTAATATATTTATTATATACTCAATGCATTAAATAACTATGTCAATATAAAATAGTAGATCCTATGCTTGCTGAAGGATAAAGCCCTAAGCAAACTGCTCTGATCTCACCGCTGACCCTGCTTTGAGGGTAGGAGGTTGGACAAGAGACTTCCTGAGGTCCCTTCCAACCTGCATTATCCTGTGATCTTATGATTATTTACCCTGTATTTATTCCTTGAGCAGAAAAGGAAAATTGCATTTTAAATGTATAAACATTGCATCATCAAGCAGTTAGTCTGACAATACACCCTTACGAAAAATTGAATCAACATTTTAAATGTGCCCAGTTTCTAAAAGCAGTAACTTCTAGGGAATACTGAGGCTGTGCATAATTAGATTGTTTTTCCTGCACAAATCACTGCATTCTAAGCAAAATTATTTTAATAATAAAAATTATCTTCCTGGTTACATGTACATTAGCAAGCCATGCAGTGCAAAAGAAATAGCTCTGTACAGTGCAACAGCTTGTGCTGGACCCACTGTCCTCAAACGGTGCTCCTTTGGACAAGCTCTGGTCAGACCCCATGCACCGAACCCCATTTTATTGCTGGGAGGTGCTGGGTTCACCTTCAGTTTAACTTCATCCCAAAGGGGGCTGTGCAAGTTCTCAAACCACTCGTGATGATAAACAGAGCTTGGTAAGTGGGGATAACCGGGAGATTTACTTCAAAACTCACTCCTGATTCAAACCGAAATACCGGTATCTTCTAAGTGAACTCATCTACCAAATTCACCTTTATAGGAATGAATCTGCATCATTTTATAGCATATAGCTAATATTTTAATATGCAATTTGATATTCTAACTTTCTGAAATGTGCAATTTGAAATCCCAACTTTCTGATGTTTAAATGACATTAATGAATTAATAGTAGTATATAGTAATAAACATTTTCACCTCCATTCTATGTAAGGGTAAACTGGAGTACTCCAGTAAACCGGAATGCCATCCAGATCTGCCAGATTCCTCTCTACAGATCTTTAACAATGGGATTATCCTTGCAAAAGCCTCCATAGTGCTTGTCAAATGATAACTTATTTATGAGTTTTTTATTTCACTTAGATTAAGACAGTTGAAAGTACAAATACTAGGTCAGAGCATAGCTGATGGCAAAAATGCACAAAGCATGCTCATAAAAATAATGCTCATAGTGGATTAAACTTCTTTTATGGGTCCGTGTAGCAACTCTGACTTCCTCACACTGCAGCACTTGAAGGCAGTTTTGGACTGCAGGCTGGCAAAGGAGGGCTCCAGAAACGATCATCACCCCAGCACCACCGTTTGTGTGGGCACACCGTCAGTCAAGGGGGTAAAGAAGGGGTGGGATTCTTTGGGCAGTAATGCTGCCTTATGTCAGCTGAAAGCATTACTGCAGCCTAAATGAACGTACGAAATAAGCTAAAAACACAGCCTGGGGTCAACATGGCATCAGAGGCTGTTTTTTCTGTAGATGTGCCCCATTGCCATGAGCGAAGTCGTCCTTCTGCTGGCCCCACACTGACACAGGATCACTCCTACACTGAAATGATGTCTCTTTGGGCTGGGTAGGAAACTTCGGAATGATATGCCTGAATGGGGCAACACTGTAACCAGGTCCTGGCGAGGCACAAAATGCGTTAACTCTATGTCTAACTTCGTTTGGAAAATCTTGCTTCTGTGTCTTTCATGCAGTCACCTAGAGAGACTTGTTTTTTCTTTCTGTCATTCTCCACAGGTAACAGGTACTGGTCATTGCTGGCGGCAGTGTATTTCCGTATCAGATGGGACGAGTTGATACAGTGGGGACAGACTTCCATGCTCCCAAGTCATCTTTCTTCCCCTGAGGCATCAACACTCTCTATACAATTTTCATTACTTTTAACTTGTCACTCAGGATGTTTATCGCACTTCATACTTCAGAGGCCAACAAGAAGTTGAGATCTTACTGGTGAGGCATTTAGGGATTGTGACTGCGTACCCTTAAATACAGAGAGATTAAGTAATCACTAATATACTAGGAAAAAGCTACATTATAATACACACCCTCCTAAAGCCCCATTGATGAATGACGCTAGACAACCATTCATCCTACCTCTCCTCCAATGGCCCAGGCAAAAATGACTGTCTCACATGTGAGAAAAGAGTCTGGCATGTTGGGGTGGTAACACTCATGTCCGTAGTCCAGCACACTGTCATTCAAATTGCTGCTGCACTGGTAGAGCAGGATATGGTGCACCAGATTCTCATGGCCTTTCTGGATCAATGGCTCAACCTGTCAATGTCAAATGGGAAAGAAAACACATCCCAAATGGGACTATTTCAATGCAGGTATGCAGACAGAACTAAAAATTATATGGTGCATTTATTTTAAAAGAGGCGACCTGACATTAGATTGTAGCTAGGTTGAGATGCTACTTCAGCACTCTGCAACCCCAGGCATTAAAAACATCATTGCCCAAGTGCATCATTGGGACAGGAAGAAAATTCTGTGTCTTGATGAAACCTCTGATGCCATCTGTCTTGTTCTCCCTTCTCCCACCCCAGTCTTACACTGTCGCTTGTCTTTCTCCCTGCCCAGTCCCGTTTAGCCACATTCCAGCATGAAGTGGATATAAAACAGCTGAACATCTGTCCAACTAAACCAACTTGGTATCTGAACTACTTAGAACTTTTCATCCCTGTTTCTGCCTCTTTTGTACTATTTTAAGCTAGAGCTACCCATAGATTCTGTACATCTAGGGTGAGCCTGGAGGTATACCCAACATTCCTCAGCAGCTCAAGACGGACTTTCAAATTTTTTTGACATCTACAAGAAATTAGAATTATTTTACAATCTGCTGAGTTTTAAAGACTTTATTAATATGAAGTCATTCCTCAGAGGTTGGGTGCTCCAGTCTGTTTGTAGCAGTGAAGAGCTGGAGGGCTCTCAGGGGTGCCTGGGTGCCCCCAGTATAATTTGACCACCGAACTTCAGGGTAGGCTGAAATTATTTCATTCCCATATAACAGTGTTCACTCTCTCTTTGGATGGATTATGTTAAATTATCTCTGTCAGAAATGACATCCCTGGGGCAAACATGAATACTTCTGGAAAAAAGTGATTTTGTTTTTCAGGAAGATCATATTCCACAAAATATCAGCACATAGAAAACAGTGTTAAAATAAAAGGAGTTTTTCCCTTGCTTTTGTTTTCAAATGTTGCATACCATTCTGTCATACCTACCTTCAAGTTGAATAAGATAAACATTCATGTTTTCACAGGAAAAGTAAAGCTTTGGCAATGCAACTCTTAAGATGCAGGGTGCCATCCTGTATTGCCTTTTAATTTTGGGAAAGGGAAGGTATATTAAACAGGCAAAAATTATATATAGCTCCTAATTTTGCATCATGTGTTTTGCAAGCATATGAACCCCAACTAACAGAGGGCCAGAACAGTTTATTACCTTATTAAAATATTGTTAGCACAATAATGTTACCAGAAATGTATCTCTCTGCACTTTGCTGAAACCACTAAATCAGTTACAAAAGAGGAAGGGCAGGAAGAAGCAACCAGAGCCTGTGCATATCAAGACCACCCTCATTGATATAAATCTGCAAAATACCATTGAGGTTGGGCTCTTGGGGAGTCCAGCTGCTGCTGAGTACCTGCATGTCTGTCCAAGAAGTGCACAGCCCAAAACCACCCACTTCACTGTGCTCAGTGAATCAGTGGAAGGATGCCAATTTACACGGATGCACCAAAGTTTTGTTCTGATGGCAAAAATGAAATACTTCACAAGAGATCTTCTGTTCTGTTCTCAGCAATCATTATTTCACTTAGCATTACCATCATAACAAATTACTGTACTATGAAAATAAAAGTATTTTTGAAGGAGCTAAGAGTCAGTTTTCCCATCAGATAAGAATTTATTCTCAAATATATCAAACTGACTGACAAAGATTCAGAAATCCATTTCAGCTTGATGTTGCTGCTTCTCTTTGCTCCTTTATATACCTGTATATTTATCTAAACGCTGCAGAACCAAAACACACTCGTATCACATCAGCATATACATTAAATAGCAGTGTATATATCTCCAGAATTAAAAAACTCCACATAATGTATGGGTTAGTCAGCAAAATGATTATGGGAATATTAGCTCTGTAGCTACCAAGAAAAGAGAGTATTTTTGTCCCAACATGTAATAGATCTGCCTGCTGCTACAAGATCCCAGCACCTGCTGTGCTTACAGTCGCTACTTCAAAACCAACTTCCCCTCAAAACAATGGGGCATCACCAAAATTAGAAACTCGCATCCTGTCATCGGTTTTTAGGGTCGGTTACCTAAACATTAGCAGCACTTCAAAAAGTAGGTTTGTTCAGCTTGCTTTAGCGAAGAAAAGAAGAAGCTAAAACAAACCCTTAAGCATCTTTCCAACGCATCTTGTAGGACACCTTATATTCTTCAGATGCACAAATATATAATGAAAAGCAGCAGCAAAGTTACACTTTTTACACATTTTTATTTACAACTTGGTTAAAGAGGTGCCACCTTTCTCTCTCCTCCTTTAAACAATAGATAAAAAAAGAAACTATGAGGAATGGTCAAAAATGTATCAACAAAAATTTTGGGAAAATCTCATTAATCACAAATTGTTCATTTCCCAGAAATGTATGGAAATATTTTTAATTGCCAGTTCCCTAAGGATCACAGCATCATTTCTGACTGAAACAAGAGAAGGAAGAGGAGCAGACCCTCCAGACATGTTGGGTTCCCTTTCTCTGATCCAATGAATAGCTAACTGTATTTACGTACTAGAATAACTTCAGCAGAAAAGAAAATGAAGAAATATGATTTGGTTCGCTATTGTAGTGATTAACTGGAGCAGGGATTTAAACATCCCATTCTACACCCCAGGTGAGTGCTGCCCCAGCTACTGAGCCATTTATTGTTTTAGCTTATAGAGTTTGTTGGTCGTTTAGGCTGCCTCCGCTCTCCCTCCCTCACTTTCCACAAAAAGCATCTGTACAGCTTAGTTTGCTCCAAGCTGAACAGAAATTCCGAGACATCATTTTTTTTCCAAATAAACAAAATTCTTGTTTTCTGGCCAGCCTTACAAACAATGGCGAACAATGGCCGAGTTCCGCAAATATTGGGCCAAATTCAGCAAATCACTAATGCATTTAAATGTGCACATAAGCAGTCCCAAGTGTAAAATTAGTTGCTAGAGCAGGTATCTACAATTAAATATCTAGATCAGGGTGGCCTGGTTTCCAGAGTACTTGCAGCCCCTGTGAATGATAACACAATTTGAAAGAGCTCATCTCCTACAAGGTTATTCCTATTTTAACAGCCCTTTATCAGCTTTGATCCCTAACTATAGGCATTGATTTTTAAAATACGGACTGTTTAATGCACACATTCAAAGTTTCCAGTTATTTTAATGTTTTAAGCACGAAGCTTTTGGTTCTTTGATAGTCTTTAATCACAAAATCACACAACTGAAAGCTAAGCTAAGGTCTACTTTTGTAGGTCTCCAGTCACAACCCAGTGGACCAATGCTGAAAAGTCGCCATGTTAATCTTGTTAATTTGTCTTGGGAAACAATGCAACTTTTAGAATACTTATGAAAAGATAATAATTTGCTATGGTAAAATAAGGCAAAGGAACTAAAAAATGTGGTAAAAGTACACATAGTACCTAATAGTCAATAAACTGCAGATTTAAGCGATCAATTAATTTTTATTTGGACTTTTATTTATACATTGGCTTTTTTTTTTTACTCTGTTCTTGTAGTGTAAGGGGACTCAAACGACACTTTCAGCCACTGATAACTCAGTAATTTAGAAGAGTTGTAATGAAAATGGGAGTTCACCTTTCACTTTCAATAAGCATGAGGAAACCTGTGACCTTGAAACGTAGTTCCTTCCCCTTTCCTTGCTAATTCTTACCCACCTCTTGTTAGCCAAGGGAGTCAAGAAAGAGGTGGAAAGGAGATTGAAAGGGAAAATGCATATAACTAACTACCTATTTTCCCCATTTTTCCTCACTCTTTGAGGCTCATCTGTGGCACTTTTTCACTGTTGCTGGCATGCAAGGAAGACCCAGCTGTCAGGGTTCATCTCTTTGCCATGCCATGAATAAGCCTGCAGAGATACTGCACCACCGGGGCACCTCGGTGACTTCTTCCCCTGCAGGCAAAGTGCATTTTCTGCTTGACATTTCCTAACTGCCAGAGGCTCAGATAACAAAAGCCTTATATCCACCCTACATCAAAATGCCGAAAGCGTTTGGGACTGCAAAAAATAAGTGCACGCAACAAGACACGATCTCCCCTGCTTTTCCTGAAAGCCACAGAAAGAAGCTGCTGTTTTATTATTCATGATGATTTAGTTTCTGCATCCTCTCTACCTTTCTTGAAAGCTTGGGTGAAAGAACTTCCTAACTGAGCACACTGATGTATATGAACCCATCTGATTCCCACTAATGGAGATAAAAGATAATAGATGTCCTATACTCCACCACCACATCAAATCAGGGTTTCCAAAGATGGAGGCATTTAAAAAGCACAGCATTCAAACGCAAAATGAAGACACTGCCTTCTGCAAGCCAAAGTGTGGGTTACGGTTAAGGTGTGTGATTAGCATGACCCGTACTTGTCAGGCAGGTTGAGAGGTTTCACAGAGCTCCTTTCCTCATACTGTATCTCTTAGCACTTCTCAAAATACTGACTTTAAAAGAATATAACAACCAAATTTTAGGTTTATTATCAAGTTAGTTAATACAGATAAGACATGTGCTTTCCACCTGTTAATTTAACAGAAGCCCTACTCAACAGGCTGACATCACATGAACAAAGAAAATGCTTACATCTGCCAACGCAGGGTTACTCAGCTTCTATTTTTCTTCCTCTCTTCTGTGCTTCCTATTATCCCTTTACCTACTGCTCAAACTGAATGCGCCACGTGTCTTTATTTCTTAAAAAACATGCCAAAATTGTAACATACTAGAGCCTTGCCTCTCAAGCTGTTGATAAGCAGGGTCAAGATACTAACGTACAATGTATTAAACAGGATGAAAATGCAAATGGCTCAAATGGTCCAAGAAGTTAGATTGCCTACAAAGGAAAAATATCTCCCGAAACCTGGAAGCCTTTCTTGCTTATTCTTGTTTTCCTCCCTTTTTATTTGCTTTGCTTTCTTTGATGTCAACAGCTGTGGTTTGCTCTTCATGCTTGTTTGTGCAAATGATGAAAGTTAGTAAACTACATCCATAGTCTTCCTATAGTATCC